CTATTTTTTGGTTGCAGCCATCATTGTTGTTTGGCGGGCCCAGGCTGGGGATTCGAACCCGCCACCTTAGGTGTATGTGGCTGGCGCCCTAGCCGCTTGAGCCACAGGCGCCGAGCCCTTCCAACTATTTTTAAAACCATGTTCTGTGCCACCGTTTCTCACTTTTAAATTCTTTATTCCTGTTTCTATTATTTTAAGCAACACAAAAAAAGTTATGTTCTGGGTCACCTCATGTGCTCACCAAATTATCTGATATATTTAGAGGTGTGAAAATCCCGGAAAAACAAGAAAGCAATATGATGTCCAGGCTGTTTTTGTTTGTTTGTTTGTTTCATAATTTCCCAGCATTTTTGAAAAAACCCAAGTACAAGTAAAGGGCGTTGGACAGAGCCAGAGCTGAATCGTGACCTAGTTACGTTCCATTGGAGGCTCAGGACAAGCTAGTTCAGCCTGGTGATTTGGGCTCATTCATTAAGCAAAGATTTCCTGAGCACCTAATCTGTGTCAGGCACTGTCTGACCAGTAAATAAAATGTCCTCGCCCTCTTAGAATTCTCGAGGAGTGAGTAATTAACTGTGAGAATGAGGAGGGTTTTATCAGGGACAGCAGGGATGGCCATGGGACACGGAGTCTGAGGGTCCTGGAAGGCCTTGCTCAAGAAAGTTCAAGCCTGAAGAGTGAGAAACAAAAGCCAGGATTTATTGTGCTGGCTAAGAGCCAAGCACTGTGGCCAGGTGTGGTGGCTCACACCTATAACCCTAGCACTCTGGGAGGCTGAGGCAGGTGGATCTCTTGAGGTCAGGAGTTCAAGACCAGCCTGAGCAAGAGTGAGGCCCCGTGTCTACTAAAAATAGAAAACCTAACTGGGCATTGTGGTGGGCACCTGTAGTCCCAGCCACTTGGAAGGCTGAGGCAAGAGGATTGTTCAAGCCCAAGAGTCTGAAGTTGCTGTGAGGTGTGACACCATGGTACTCTACTCAGGGTGACAGAGTGAGACTCTGTTCAAAGAATAGAAAAGGGAGCCAAGGACTGCATAGGTAATTATCTCCTTGAATGAATTATTCCTGGCATCTTCTCACCCCCATTTCACAGATGAGGAAAACTGAGGCTCAGACAAGGTCAGGACAAGTGGGAGGCCCACAGCTCAGAAGTGAGAGTCTAGACTGAAACCTGCCTTTGAGTATGAGCTAGAAGGAAGCTGGGTGAGATAAGGCTTCCTACAGAGAGGTCATTTTAGGCAGCCAGGAAGCAAATGTGATGTGAGGGTGAAGAGGGGCCCCCACCCTAGGAGCCTGGAGGGGTTGGGATTTATTTTACCCACTGGCATGGGAGCCATGATGGGGAGGGACCTTGTGGCAGGGGCATAATCTCTTCTCTGCCACTTATCTGATGTGTGGTCTCAGGCAAGTCGGTTCACTTCACTGGGCCTCAGTTTCCCCATGTGCAAAATGCAACCTCTCAGGCCTGCGGGATAAAGGCTGCTTCCAGGCCCTGGTGTGTGCTGGCCTTCAGTATGGCAACTAATTCAGCTGAATCTTGGCAAACTCAAACCCTAGCGCTGCCACACAACTACCTCTGTGACCTGGGGCAAATCTCCTGGGCTTTTTGTCCCTCAGTTTCTGCATAGGGAAATGGGTTGTTGTGAAGGTTCAGTGAATTGATACCATAAAGTCCACCACACGGAAACACTGGCTGTGATGATTAATGTTTATGCCTTCATTTTCAGGTCTTCTCTTAGCATGAGCTGAATCTTTTATGGAATTAGATGAGGCTCGTGCGTATGAAAAGTACATCTCACTATCCAACTTCCCTTTCCTCCTGCCGCCCTGCATCACGGGACAGCAGTGTGGAGTTGGCATTTGGGAAGACTTGTGCCCTCATCCCACAGTTAGCTGCTTCATCTATTTATTTGTGTGGCCACTCCTTCCACCCACCTGCAGAGATGTCAAAATGGGCACCTCTAAGAGCAACTCCTGGCCCTGTCATTCACCAGCTGCATGTCCTCGGTGGTCCTCACTTTCCACATCTGTAAAATGGGGCCAGTAATAGCAACTACCTCCTAGGAGAGCTAGAGAAGTCCACTGAATTCATAGCATGCTTCCTCTCAAATGCGTTTGCCCTGCCCCCATGGTACAAAATACTTTTTAAAAAATTTTACTTATTTTTTTGAGACAGTCTCATTCTGTCGCCCTGCGTAGATTGCCGTGGTGTCATAGCTCAGAGCAACCTCAAATTCTTGGGTTTGAGCAATCCTCTTGCCTCAGCCTCCCGCGTAGCTAGGACTATAGTTGCCTGCCACAATGTCTGGCTAGTTTTTCTATTTTTAGTACAGTCGAGGTCTCACAGTTGATCTTGAACTTCTAAGCTCAAAAGATCCTCCCATCTTGGTCTCCCAGAGTGCTAGGATTATAGGTGTGAGCCACTGCGCCCAGCCCTAAGTACATTTTTACATCATGCTGTAGCCTGTAACAGCCCTGTGGTCTGAGCCAAACCACCACATTGCTCTGAGCCTCAGTTTCCCCATCTGTAACATGAAGGCTGCTGTGAGGATGCAGTGGGGTTGCACGTATATGAATACACAAAACCAGAAGGAAAGATTAACAAAACTCTTTTCTTCCTGAGAGAGACGCACTCTGATATTTTCTAATCTATTTCCTACTTTTAAAGAATGCGGTTTTTCCAACTCAGTAATTTCATTTCATAATGCACTAATGGGTAATACATTTGGAAGCTGAAAAACACTGGGTTAGACATGTGAGGTGCTTAGAATAGTGCCTGGCACACAGCAAGCACGCAGTACAAATGCACTATTATTATTAGCATGTGTGCGGGCCTTCGTGCAGTCATTCAGAAAAATGACTTTCACCGCACTCCTACGACACACAGGTTTCTTCCTGGGCTCCCCCAAGGTTCGGGGCTGCTTACTCACCTGGGTACAGCGGTTCCTGGTCACTCCTGAGGAGAACAGTGGCTGCAGAGAAGGCAGAGGTGAGGGCAAGCAGGCTGGAGGCTGCAGGGCCAGGGGAGGTCAGAGGCACAGGGACCACTCTCACCAATGGCCCAGGACGCCGCCCCGATGCCCATCAGGAGCAGCAGGGTCCCCGCAGTGAGAGCTGCCACCTTGGGTCCGGAGCAGCATGGCACAGTCTGGCCACCTGCAACAGACACCATGCTGGGGCCACAGCCAGGCCTGTCTTCATCATGGCAGGGTCTGGGCACTGGGCCAGCTCTGCCCTGCCCCCCCCCCCCCAAGGCTAACTGATTACGCCTGACCGTGCCATACCCTGGGCCCAATTTCCCGGGGCTGAGCAGCTGGCAGGGCCATCCCTCCCCTGTTGCGTGAACAACCAGGTGTCCAGCTCCCCAAGGGTTCCAGCTGGGATGGGGGCATGGCTGGGCCAGCTGCCACCTTCCCCGTTTCCCTTCCAGCACTTTCTTGGCATTTATGGGGCTTCTCCTCCCCAACAATGCTGTGCTTTTCTATTTCTCTCACTGCTTTGCGCAGTCTCTTCTTGGATCTCCCACTCCTGCTAACTTTTCCAGATGTTCCTGGAGCCTCTTGGGGGCTGTGACCCCTCTTGATGGCTCCTTTCCCTGCTGTTTGGCATTTTCCGGCTGCCTCCTTTCTTTCTGCTATTCTAAACACCTTGCCTCGGGTGCCCTCCCCGCAGCCAGACCTCTCTCACAGCACCCAGCTCCCATCAGATTTGCCCTTGGAGGTTGAGGATCCAAATTCGAAAACTTGCCACCTCACTTTAAAATATTGGTCTTATCCTTTCCTAGCTGGGCAGGTGGCATCATATCTTTAAACCTCAGCTTCCTCATCTATTCAGTGGATGTCCACCAAACATCCACTTCCAAAAATAACACTTTAAAGTTCTTTCAAATAATAGCCAAACCTGTCTCGATGCTTGCTGGGTGCCAACTCTGCTCTAAATGCACTACCTCATTCTGTCCTTATCTCAGGCTCATGTCCTGATTCTCATTCTTCACGCAGCTCAGAGGAGTGGAGTCCCCTGCCCACAGCAACTCCGCCAGGAAGAGGAAGGGTCCTGACCCTGGGCAGGTGTGATGCCAGGTCCTAAGTGTATGGCCACAAAGCCACACTGCCTCTCTCCCAATGGCAGTGCATGGCACACAGCAAGTTCTTAATATGCTGTGTGGCAACTGCCTTTGCCTCTCTCAGCTTCCCTTTTTCTATCAGTAAAATGGGGCTTTATTTGCTTGCTGTCCTTCTGAGCATCCACTGTGTCCCTGGCACCATTCTAGGCTCTGGAAATGTACCCCACACAAGACAGGTAAGGTTATGGCTCGAAGGGGGCTCAGGTTCTCACGTGTGTAGATGGGGAGTGGGGGAAATCAACAACGAAGTAAATGAGTCAATGAAACAGTGAAGACAATGAATGTAAACTGTGGGCAGCAGATGGGCTGCTGAAGGGGGACCCGGGAAGTCCTCCCCAAGAAGAGACATTTGAACTCAGATCTGAAAGGTGATGTGCCAGCCATGCAAAGACCTCAAGGAAGAGCACTGTGGGCAGAACAGCACAGGCAAAGGCCTTGAGGCAAGAATCAGCATGATCTGTTAGAGGGCCAGAGAGGACTTGGAGGTGGCCGGATGGCACAGACTTGGGTAAAGCAGTGGGAACCAAGGCTGATGGCCCAGGGAGAAGACAGACTATCCCCAAGTGCAATGGAGGTCCTGGAGATTAACAGCTAACTCCTTTGCCAGGGATTGTAGGAGGACCAAAGAGACAAGGCTGCTAAAAGCCTTCAGCTGGACCTGGCTTGGGTACAAGTGCCCTTGGCATGTTCAAAACACTCCCAAGGCTGCAGGAGCTCCCAGCTCTCTCTCCCATCTGCATCCATGGTAGTGTGGTTGGCCAGGATGCCAGGCCAGCACCCTAAACAGAGCAGGGGGCAGTCCAAGACTTTCCTGGGATGGCCACTGTCTGAGTGTCTTAAGAATTTGAGAGGGGGCTAGGCACAGTGGCTCATGCCTGTAATCCTGGCACTCTGGTGAATCACTTGAGCTCAGGAGTTCAGGACCAGCCTGAGCAACAGTGGTACCCTGTCTCTACTAAAACAGAAAAATTAGTCAGGTGTGGTGGTGGTAGGTGCCTATAGTTCTAGCTACTCAGGAGGCTGAGGCAAGAGGATTACTCAAACCCAGAGTTTGAGGTTGCTGTGAACTATAACACCACTGCACTCTACCCAGGTCACAGGAGTGAGACTCTGGCTCAAAACAAGAACAAAAAAAAAAAAAAGAATTTGAGAGCTCAATGGCTCCTACCAAAGCACAAGGGGACACTCCATTCCTCCAAAGAGGTCCCAGTGGGCTGGGCTGGGCCAGCCCCTGCTGGCTGACCCCTGCCTGTCCTGACAGGGACACTTAGGTCACTGCCCAACTCTGCCCAACCACCCTCTTGGCTCCCTGTAGCCATCAAGGGGTCCAACCAGACCTCTCAGTTGCACAGAACCCAGTGCAGAGGCCCTGGTAGTGGGACAGGGAGGACGGCCACTCTGTCTCCTGGGCGAGAGGAACAACCTCCTTCCATGTTTTCTGGTTCAGAGAACTTCAGGCACTTCCAAGACAGATGCCTCTTGTGGGACAGGAAGCATCCTGACTCTGGTCCCCCAGGGTGCGATGCATCACCCTGTGTTTGCTGGGACAGGAGGCACCCTCGTTCTGCGTGAGAGGCAACCCCATGATCCCTTGGAAGCGATAGGGCCTTTTTGCTCAGTAAGCTAGGCCTCCTGCCCCCCCTTCTCCCTGAGACTCTCTGCAGCCTGCTGGTCTGGGCACCTCCTGGCTGCCCTATGTCTGCTTACAGGATGTTCCTTCTGCTCCTACTATTCAGCTGCAAAGCCCCTCACTGGTGACATCTTTGGAGTCTTACATGACTCCAGCCTCTTGGAGGAAATGCTCCCCGCTTTGGACTTCTGGGACACTGCGCACGCCTCACTTTCCTTCTACCCTGGTAGTGCTGTATCTGCCGACCCTCTACTTACTCTCTGAAATCTGGGGTTCACTGAGTGGGCCAAAGTCATACCCTCACTCCTTCCTACCCCAATGTCTGATCCACCCACCTTCGTGGCCTGTTTCTCCTCTGTGTCCCCAGACTCTGGACTCTCTTCTAAGTCCCAGATCAGAGGTCCTGCAGCCTCTCAGATGCCTTCCCCAGGAGTCATACCCACCAGGACCCAGAATGGCCTCAACATCTCAGACGTGTTCTTCCTCCCAGGCCCTGTCTCCGAGGCCCACATTTCCAGGACTGTCCCTTCTGGAGGATACCTCCACCCACCCTAGCTTCCAGGCAGGTCCTCAACCTTGTCAGGCCCCCAGAGTAACATTCCTTCCTGCCCCTCCCCCTGCCCACCTTAGTGCAGCTCCATCCAACTCCTAGGTACAGCCTCCTCCTGGGGTCCACTCTGGACCAGAGGCCTGAAGAACCTACTTAAATACCAAGTCCAACCTGTCCCTTACCTACCTGTAACCCTCTGTGACTCCCCAGTGCCCTCAGGACAGAGTCTAATGCCCTTAGCCTGGCATTTCCAGCCCCTCACAGGACATAAGCATAGCTTTTAGAGATTTGGGGGATTGAACATACATTTCCTCAAGTTCCTAAGCAGCCCTGTGGGTCATTATCAAACATCTGATAGAGCATCCAAAAAGCAACCCAAACACAGAAATCGTAAAATACTAGTTAAGCTAGAAATAACGAATAACCAGCAGCGCCACCTTGTGGGGAGACCCAGCACTGCCCCACACCAAAAATAGTCCCAAGCCAGCCTCGGTCCAGCCATGTGCCTCTCCTCCCTCCCAGCTCCACTTTCACCTCCACCTCCAGAAATTCAGAGCCATCTATGTACCATTGCATGCTGTTGAGACACCCCCACCACCGCTTCTAGCCTTGCTCTTCCCTCTGCCTGGCACCCTTTGAGTTGCAACTCAGATAGCACCTCCGCCAATTGCAAGCCCCCAGGTGGCATCAGAACCTCAACTTGGGCGTGCTTCAAGAGCAATAATAGTTACACACACCGCTGCAGCAGATGCAGCCATGATGACACTCAGAATCACACGCCACCTCACAGAACTGCCCTAAACCAGCTCTGTCCAGTTTCCTTAAATCCTTGCAGCTGTTAATGAGGAAGGCACCGCTGTCACCATCTCACTTACAGAGGAGGAAAAGAGGCCCAAAGAAGTGTGGCCACCAACCCCAGGTCACTCAGCAAGTAAGTGCAGCATCAGCAGAACCTTCCAGCATCTGTGTGCAGGTGTGACCCCCGCCCCCCACCCCCCCAGCCCCAACAGCAGGACTGTCCTCCAAGACCAGGCCCAAGCCATCGGGAAGACACCTGCGCCTACCCTGCGCCTGTTCTCTCCTTGCAGCCAGACCTTCTCTGCCCATCTGGGCATTTTCTGTTTCTCTAGTTTATTCATCCATAGTTCCCGGCCCTGGCATCTCCCTGCCTTCGGCTCCAAGGAAGAAACTGTCCTTAAGGAGCCAGCCTCTGTTGTCCACCTTCTCAGCTAGGGGCAATACCTTCTGAGTGTCTGGGAGCCTGGGTCTCTGGACATAACTGAACAATTGGGCGTCAGAGTTACCAGCCAGTGTTGAGTCCTGAGGAGGCCAACACTCAGTGCTTCCTGCCTGTCATAGCACCTCAGTCCTCACACCACTTCATGGAGTATATACTAGTACCTCACTTTACAGATGAGGAAATGGAGGCCCAGAGAGGGCAAGTTGCTTGCCCAGGGCCACACAGCTAGAAAGTGCTTCTGCCTGGGTCGGATCCCAGCTAGTCTGGTTCCAGGAAGAAAAGAGGGAGATGGCCTGAGCTGGTGGAGGGTGGGAAGGAAAGGCTGCCCCCAGTCAGGACCCTCCAGCTGGCTCCCAAGTGTAAAAGAGGTTGAGAAGGAGCCAGGCTGCCTGGAACAGTTTCTCTCTGCCATCCCTGTGGTGGTGGTTTCTCTGCCATCTCTCCCCTCTCCATCTATCCAGGCCAAGTCCAAAGTCCTCCCTCTGCTCTTTTGCCCACAGAGCCATGAGGTGGGAGGAAAAGTCTGGAATTGGTAAGGACCTCGGGACCCTGGGACTCCAAGTCTGCCAACCTCTGTCACGACACCTGTGGTTTATGGCATGCGTCTTACACGTTGAGCCTCCTTATTGGTGCTTTGTGTGTTCCATGCTCTCAACAACCTCACAGAGGGAGCATCAGGACCCACACTCGACCCAGGGGGAAACTGAAGCCCATAGAAAGGATGTCACTTGCACAAGATCACACAGCAAAAAAGTGGCAGAAGCAAATTCAAACGCAGGCCTGAGTGTTGGATTCCAGAACTGGTGTCCTTAACCACAATAGTTATGGTCTCCCCACGTTCTGCCTCAAGCAGAGAGCAGGCTGGGGTTAGCTGAGAAGCTGGGGGTGAGGAGAAACTGAGGCCAGGCACCAGGAAGGTCATATGGGGTAGCAGAGAGGCAGGCAGTGGGACAGCCACATGGAAAATTTGGTTGATAGTTAATCAGGTGGAGGAGGCCAAGAGGGTATAGATGGGGGTTGGAGGAATGCTCCAAGGGGCGGAGGGTTGAGAAGGGAGCACGGAGGGAGGGGCGCCGGGTAGAGCCAAAGTCTGGGCTTGGGGAAGGGGGACTCACCCTCCTTCTCCGCCATGTCACAGCCTCTTGTTAATGATTCCCCGGCTGACCTCCTGGGCCGGGTGGGACCTGTGGGGAGATGAACAGAAGGGAGGGCCTGGGGGAGCCCAGCCCAGTCCTGGTGCCCCAGTCCCAGGCGCCCATCCAGGGAGGCTGGAGGGCTGGGGCCTTGGCCAGAGCACGCCGTGATCACGGACCCAGATGGGGCTGGGTTCAAGGCTGGGGTCAGTGTCTAACCAGTGGCCAGGGGATGCCCGGATTTGCATGGACCATGGGGGCTGTGGGCCCCCATGCCTGAGCCTGGGGGAGGAGGGTCCTGAAGATCTAAATTCCTGGGCTTGAGAGAGGAGAGGGCTGAGGGCCTGAATTCCTGCATCAGGGTGAAGGAGGAATTTGGGGACCAAGACTCCTCAGTACGAGGGAAGAGGAGAGAACTGTGGCCTGTCCTCTGAGTCTGAAGGAAGAGTGGGTTGAACGCCTAGGTCCTGAGGGAGAAGTTGAGGTCCCACTCTTTGGGTCCCTGGGAGCTCCTCTATCAGGTGGGGGCATCAGGTTGGGTGGGGGACCTGAGGGAACTCACGTCCTCAGGACTGGAACTGTGAGCCTGGGGGCCCTGACACTTACCCTGGGGTCCGGCAGGTGGGGGCGGAGCCGCAAGATGGTGCTGGTTTAGGGTCAGTCCCCAGGCCTGGGTGGCAGCATGGTGGCCCGGCAGCAGCGGGTGCCCGGGGAGGCAGAGGCGGTGGCGTGGGGCCTGCTAGGCCAGGCTGCCTCACCTGAGGAGGAGGGGGCTGGGCAAGGGGCGGGGGAAGGGGCGGGGAGGGGCTGGACGATGGGATTGGCAGTGCTGAAGGCCACCTGGCTGGTGGGACTGGACCTGCAGGGGCTGGACCAGGCGGGCCCAGGACCAGTCTTGCCTCCAACCTCCAGGGGTCCCAGGTGCGCCTGTCTGCAGGGAGGTGGAAACAGGGACAGGCTTGGCTGAGGGCTGGGGCTGCCTGGAGTATTACAGGATGGGGATCTGTATGGGGAGGTGTCTGAGATGGAGTCCCTAGCACACCCTGCCCAGCCCCAGGGCCATGCTGCCCTGCCATTTCCTGTACCCCCTGCCCAGTTCCCAAATGGGACAGTCCTGCCCAGACCCCAGCCCTGACTCCAGGCCCAGCCCCTCCCAGCCCAGCCACCTCACCCTGCTCATCCTCCCCCAGCCCCCTCCCCCAGCTGCTTTCCTACAAGTCACGGGGGCTGGTTTGCTTTGGCAGCCTCTGGACAGCCTGCAGAGGTGACCTCTGGAGCCAGGAAAGTCCTAGATAAGGGGGATGGGGGGTTGGCCCGGAAAAGGTAGCACCAAGCACTGAGGCCCAGGCCAAGTGGCCGGAAGCAGATACACACTGTCCCGCCAGCAGCCAAGAGCTATCCACGTCAGACAGAGCTCAGGGCCAGGTAAACACCCGGCACCCCTCAGACATCTGCCTGTAGTCAGGCACACGCCCAAATGCTGTCAGACCACAGCTGCTCACCCCAGACTGGCCTCTGTGCCTAGCCAATCCCACCCCTGCCCCAACCCACAGCCCCTCACCGGGGCACACTGGGTTCTCCTGGAGGCTGCCTGGCCCCTAATCTTCATGTCTCTTCCTCTCTCTCCATCCATTCCCTTCTCTCCTTCCATCTCCTCCCTAGCTCCCCCCTCTCCAAAGAAGCCCACACTGCTGGGGCACAGCAAACCCTACAAAACCCCTCCCTCTACCATCAGCCTGTCTCTTTCCTCCATGCCCCACCCCCGCTGCCTGGCCACCTCTGTGCTCCTTGCCACCCACTTTGCCACTCACAGTCCCCCTAACCTAGACATGAACCACACACCAAGTAGCTGAGCCTAACATTTGCTCTTTTCCTGTCCTTATCCCTGAATGTGTGAGGGACATTCCTCCCCAAGAGAGAGTGTCCCCGGGGCAACGGAGGCTCTGAGATTTGGGAGTGGGGATAGCATGGGTGACTTGGGCTCATGAGAGAGACTTCAAATCAAGTCCAAGAATCTTTATTTCATGAACAAAACTACTTCTGTAAAGAGAGACGAGGCTGAATGGGCCCCTTTCGAAGTGGCCCCAATCCAAGGCTGGTGAGAGAGGGCGGGGTTGGGCCGGGGCAAGAGTGCATCACAGGGAGGGGGAACCCCAGGTCCAGCTGGAGGAAGCAGGAGGGGGAATGATGCTGGGGGTTGGAGTGGGTCCCAGACCCCCTGCCCTAAACTCTTCAAGCCCATCACGACCCCAGCCCCCCTCCACCTCCGGCAGGGATGAGGCAGGAGGGACTGGCCCCAAAAGTGCGTGTCTGAAGCGGCCAATGTGTGCAAATCAGCAAGAAGGAGGGATGCGGAGCCGCTGCCCCCACCTCGCCGCCCCCTCCCCAAACAGGCAGCAGAAGCAGGGGCGGGGCAGCGGCAGTATTGCTTTACCATCATGCATGGCGGTGGGCGGGTGGGCGATGGGCAGGAGGAAGAAGGCTAGGTTGGGGTGTGAGCCAAGCCCCCTGCCCCCTCCCACCCTGACAGCTCCCTTGGCAGGACTCTGAGGCATGTGGAGGCTCAGGGCTGGCCAACTCCCCCCTGGGGGCAGGTGTGCCTGGGCATTCCAGTCAGGGCTGGCTCTTTCTTGAGGTGGAGCCCAGGGCCTGAAAGGGGAGAGACAGGGAATTAGGGGCCTAGTGGTCTGCAACCCTCCTCAGTGCCCCAGCCTCTGCCCACCCACCCACCTTACCAAGGCTATTCAGCCACCTGGACGCCCGTACAGTTCTCTTTGCTTTCTGAGGTGATGGCCAAGTATTCCGAGCTATGGGGGAAAGGCCAGGTGTACCGTGAGGCTATAATCAGTGTGGCTTGACCACCAGGAAACCAAAGAAGGTTATAGTTTCTGCCAACAGGGCTCCTGAGCTAGGAGAGGGGCTGTGGCTGGGAGCCTGGGCCCCCGAGTTTGAGGAAGAAAGGGGCTAGGGCCTGACCACTCTTGTCCCATGTTGACAAGTACTTCCCTGGGAGGGGGGGAGATAGGTAGATGAGGTAGATGGCATCTGGTCAATCCCACCCCCAACCTCCACCCTCAGCTCATGCTCTCCACTGGCAAGTCCCCAGAGGCCGGGGTCACCTGACGACCTCTTCCCCAATACCACTCACGCGTTCTCCTGCGCAGCAGCCTCTGTAGCAGCAGCGATCTTCTTGTAACAATAAACCATCTCTGCCACGAGCCATATGGTCAACACCACGATGAGCACATACATCATGATCTCAGACACAATGGACGCCATGTCTCTGTTCGCTGCAGGGGCCAAGCAGGGGTGAGGTGGGAGCCAAGACCCCAGCTCAGGAGGCACGGCAGCCTGAGTGTGCTGCAGGCTTGCTGTGTGAGCTTGGGCAAGTGGCTCGACTGCCCTGGGCCTAGTGCCCCAAAAGGATAATCATGTTGCTTTCCTACAGTAACCAGTTGCTGTTATTGTTAATAACAAGCCTTGGATAGCCCTGGGGGTCACCCTCAACGTGCCTCCCTATGTAACTTGAGAGCAAATTGTATCATTCAGAAGGCTGTTGGGCACAGTGCCCAAAAGCTACAGCTCTGCGACCAGAATGCTCAAGTTCAAATTCTGCCTCTCCTACTCGTCAGCTGCGTGACCTTGGGCAAATGACACAACCTCTCTGGGCCTTCATTTTCTCAAATGTAAGACGTTGATAATCACAATACCTCCTGCATTAGAGTGTTATGAGAATTAAATAAGCTTTAAAAATCCTTAGAATAGTGCTTGGCCTATAAATAGCACTTAATACACATTCACTGTTATTAATATTGTTACTACTATTGTAAGAAGGGCAATGCAGCATCTCGATTAACAGCAGAGGCTGTAAGGCCAGACTGCCAGGGCTTGAATCCTGGCTCTGCCTCTTACTAGCTGTGTGACTTTAGGAAAATGAGTCCACCTCTCTGAGCCTCCATTCCCCCTGTGAAAATTAGCGTGATAACACACATACCCTCTCACGAGGTGGCTGGGAAGAGGAAATGAGTTAACATCCGCAACATGCTTGGATGAGCACGCAGCTGGCACTGCCTAAGTGTTGGCTATTTTCCGGAAACCCTACATCCTTTCCACATTGCTGGCCTTTGCCACTGCCAGCTTCCTTTCATTGAGCCTAAATTTAAACTGTAAAGGGAGCGCATTCACCCAGGGGACCAGGGTCGAAAGCCACTCTGGCGTCCTCAGATGGATTTGCCAGGCATCCACCCCACATCCTGGCCCCCTCCTGGATGGCTGACATCTCATCTTCCCCGCTGTCCTCACATGGTCTTCCTCCCCTGTAAGCAGGGCACTTTCTTTGGCTCCACCCTGTACAGATGGCACTGATACTTTCTGGGCCAGAGTGAGGGAGGGTGTGGGGCTGGTTCCTGTCTCACCCCCTCCTTGCTTCTCTGCACAAGGAGCTGGGACAGGGTTCCATACCTCATTCATTCATTCACTAATTCATTCTTCCTATCTTTGGCTTGTTTGTTCAATAGACATCATTAAAGCATCCCATGTACCGGGTGCTGGTCTCAGTCAGGCTTTGTGGTAAGTTCTTTATCTGATTGTCTTCCTGATGCCTCATAAGAACCCCCAGGGCTTGCCCTGGCTTCCCACGTCACCACGCTGAGTTGGCTACATGTTGGCTAAAGCTCCCCATCGTTGGGATTCTTGCCCCCAATCCAGGAACCCCACGTCCAGATGGATTTAGGTAGCACAGTATCCCTGGCTCTCCCACCTGGCTTCTGACTCCCTCTCCCAGGCAGAATAGAACAGTGATAGGCAAAGGTCCATTTTCCAGAGAAGGACACTGAGGCCCAGAGAGGGGAAGGTGCTGGGCCAGGATGCACAGCTCTGATTGGAACCAGGATTCCAGCCCAAGTGTACCTAACTGACTACAGGATCTGAGCTCTCATCTGCTCTGGAAGGAAACCATTCACAGCCCAGGAGAGACCTGCCCTATGTGGGGCCCAGTCTCCATCAGCTCATGCAGATGTCTTGGGTGGGAAGACTGCCATTACCCCCACTTTACAAATGAGAGATGAGGCAAGGAGAGCTCCTTACGTGGTCACACAGAAAGAAGGTCAGAGGCATCTTCTCCAGGGAGACCTTAGCTTTCTTCAAAAAAACCCTCACCTTCTATTATAAGAGATTCACCTGCTCTGCCCACACAGGCAGCTTCCGGATAGGAAGTCCCAGGTGCCCCTCTGCAGGCCAGATTTCTCACCAGCCTCAGATTGCTGCACCCCAAGGAGCTTGTATGCTGCGTATATCCAAAAGAGAACTACTGTCTCCTCTCATCCCCACCTGCCTGCTTCCTAGCACTTTCCACACCTCTCCCAGGTCTGTGAAGTTCTCGCCACCCAGACCCAGCACCTCCTCTTTGTTCATTCCTTCGGGGTTGTGACTGGGAGGAAATTACAGGCTGATGGGCAATGCTGAAACTGCAGTGACAGAGTGAAGGGTAACGATTTCAAAAATATGGGATGGCAGGCAATGCTAACAATACAATAACACCGTGGGTGGGCAGGGTGCGGTGGCTCCCGCCTAATAATCCTAGCACCCTGGAGGTGGATTGTTTGAGCTCAGGAGTTTAAAACCAGCCTGAGGAACAGCAAGACCCCCATCTCTACTAAAAATAGAAAAACTGGCCAGGATGGTGGGCACCAGCTGGTGGGAAGCTGAAGCAGGAGGATCACTTGAACCCAAGAATTTGAGGTTGCTGTGAGCTATGATGCCACAGCACACTACCCAGCGTGGCAGAGTGAGACTCTGTTGTCTCAAAAAAACAAAAAACAAACAAAAAAAAACTTGTACTTTTTTTTTTTTTGTCCGACATCTTAGCTAGGTTGCAGTAGTGGCAGCTCCTCTCCTAGCTTCGCAATGCCGCCCAAGGACGACAAGAAGAAGAAAGACGCCAGAAAGTCGGCCAAGAAAGACAAAGACCCAGTGAACAAATCTGGAGGCAAGGCCAAAAAGAAGAAGTGGTCCAAGGGCAAAGTTCAGGACAAGCTCAACAACCTAGTCTTGTTTGACAAAGCTACATATGACAAACTCTGTAAGGAAGTTCCCAACTATAAGCCTATCACTCCAGCTGTGGTCTCTGAGAGACTGAAGATTCGAGGTTCCCTGGCCAGGGCAGCCCTTCAAGAGCTCCTTAGTAAAGGACTTATCAAACTGGTTTCTAAGCACAGAGCTCAAGTAATTTATACCAGAAATACCAAGGGTGGAGATGCCCCAGCTGCTGGTGAAGATGCATGAACAGGGTCCAACCAACCATATATTTGGAAAAATAAAACTTTATTGAACAACAACAAAAAAAACTTGTAGGTAATGAAAAAGTACCCCATATACCAAGGGTGGATGGTTTGAACCCAGCCCCGGCCAAACCGCAACAAAAAATAGCCAGGCATTGTGGTGGGCACCTGTAGTCCCAGCTGCTCGGGAGGCTGAGGCAAGAGAATCGCCTAAGCCCAGGAGCTGGAGGTTTGCTGTGAGCTGTGATGCCACAGCACTCTACTGAGGGTGACAAAGTGAAACTCTGTCTCAAAAAGAAAAAGTACTGTAGTGCAATGAGTCATGTTAAAAGCAATCTAGTATCATGGGTAATAATGAATATCGCATAGTGTAACAAGGAGTATTGAAAATATTAGAATAGGCTCGGCGCCTGTGGCTCAAGCGGCTAAGGCGCCAGCCACATACACCTAAGGTGGCAGGTTCGAATCCAGCCCTGGCCCACCAAACAACAATAATGGCTGCAACCAAAAAATAGCCGGGCATTGTGGTGGGCGCCTATAATCCCAGCTACTTGGGAGGCTGAGGCAGGAGACTCGCTTGAGCCCAGGAGTTGGAGGTTGCTGTGAGCAGTGAAGCCAGAGCACTCTACCCAGGGGCTCAGCTTGAGGCTGTGTCTCAAAAAAAAAAAAAAAAAAGAAAGAAAATATTAGAATAAGACTGATAATATTTCAAAACTCCATAGCATAGCAGAGTGGGTAATGATAAAAGTATGATGGTATGGTGGGAAACATTAAAAATACCCCAGCATGATAGATTATGATAAAATATTCTTGTATGTTTGGCAATGCTAAGATAGTACTATAATATAAAATACTATACTATAATTGGTAATGTTAATTCTATCATAAGGTGGATAAAAACATACTATAACTTGGTGGATGATGCTGAAAACACAGACTCTGGGAGGACAATATAAAAAGTTCCACATCATGGTAAATATTGTTAAAAATACAGGCTCTGGGAGGCAGTGCAATATGGTTAAAAAAGAGGCTGTACCAGGTGACAGTGGGCCAGAGCCCTTACCCTGCCCCTGCCACCGAGAGGAGACGGCATCCTGAACAATGGCTGAGCAATGATATGGAAAGAACCTGGGTGCCTGAATGGAGCCCTGGGGCCTCTCTCCCTCTCAACCACCTCGCCTCTGCACAGATTTGTGAGAGAGAAATAACTCAGCTTTTGTTAAGCCCCAGTATTGGGGGACGCCTTTGTCACAGCAACTCTGCTTTGCCTTCTCCCTCACTGTGGTGAGGGTGAGGGTCCACCACCCGTGTCTGTGGATGACCATCCACCCACCCAGCATCACACTGCACACCAAGGAGCAGCTTGCACACAAGGAGCAGCTCGCACACATCTTCTGACTGCATTCGCCTGCACCACTCTGACAATAAACGTAAAAATGCTAATTTTAAAAAGAAACCCACACACAGGCTCTGGCTGACAACAGAGTACAGTGAATCATGCCAAGGATAGAAACGCAGTCACCCAGGCAAGGATGAGTTCAAATCCGGCTCCCAATTGTGTGACCTTATTCACATAACCTTACCCGCCCCGAGCCTCCATTTCCTTGCCTGTAAAATAGGCATATGAAGAATCCCTAGCCTGGAGGGTGTGGGAATATTCAGTGAGGGACTCCACGGAAGGCAGGGAGGCCAGCACCTATCTCAGGGAAAGGAAGGGTGCATGCTGCCCGTGAGAATGTGTGTGCTGTGGCCCAGAAGAGGCATTAGCCACACAGCTGGCTCAAAGCCTAGGATTCTCCCAAACTCTCTCCGCCAATGGGCCACAGGGCCTTGGAAAATTCCAATTTATGCTAATCAGCAGATGGTTCAGAGAAGGGGCCAAGGCAGCAGAAGCCAAAATGATGAGACAGTTCACTTTTGACCCTTGTGGCTCACAACATGGCCCCTAGACCTGCAGCAGCGGCCTCACCTGAGGACTTCTTAGAAATGACTCCTGGGTGCTCCCCAGACCTGCTGAGTCAGACTCTGCACCTTAACAAGACTCCCTGGTGGATGGAGCCCACAGTGGAGCCCGAGGAGGTCTCTGCTCTAGGGCACATGCTCCTATCTCTCACCCCAGCATGACAGAACCACTGCCCTCACCCCATATAAGAGGCCTTCTGCTGCATGTCTGGGGGCCATGCTGCTGCCACATGCCAGCAGCTTGTCTCCAGCCTTGGGCTCAATCCTCATAACCTCCTGTGACATAAGAAGGGCTCAAACAATAAGCACCCTGAGACGTAGAGACTATTATCATCCTGTCTCCAACAGGACAAGCCTTCAGCTCAGAGACGCAGACACTTGGCAGAACTAACATAGCACTGGTGACAGAGCTGGGTTCTGCACACAGAACACCTGTAGGGAGAGGTGTCTTTTGACCCCTCCATGGACTGATGAGAAACAGAGGCCAGAGCTAGAGCTGGAGCTGGGGGCCGGGGGTGGGGGAGGTGCTGCTGTGGGCGGTTGGCTGGCCCAGGCACAGAGCCAGCCTGTCCCCTACTTGCCATCTGTCATCTGTCCCTCCATCTGGCTTGCTGGTGGGCAGCGGGGCGAAGGGGCTGGCCGGGCCCATCTCACCTTTGTCCACCACCTCCAGGTGGATCTTCTTGACGACGCTGGTGTTGTGCTCATAGTTCTCGAAGAAGAGCAAGCGGTAGACGTGGCACTCGTAGTCGCCTGAGTGGTTGTAGGTGACATTGGTGATGAAGATGGACAGGTCCTGCAGGTCCTTGGTGCCCCGGCTGCCATTCCACACCACGCGGCCCTCAAAACGCTCGTCCTCCTCCAGCTGCAGCACCTCGTTCTCGTAGCGCAAGATCTAGGGGCAGCGGTGGACGTGTCACTGCCTGGGCCCGTGTCCCCCCACTGACCCCAATTCCGTTCCCTGCCCTGACACACACAGACACAGATGGCACACAAGTGAGCTCAGTCACCTTGATTTCAGGCAGGAAGGGCCCAGGGTGCTATAGGGTCCTGCCTGGGTCCATCCAGGGCCCTGATTGCGCCTGAGGCCTGAAAGCCACACACACTCACACAAAGTCCCCAGCCATCCTTCCAAATCCCTCTGGGACTCCTGGGCCCTCCCCGGCAGTTTCTCCCCAGCCACCTGACACACTCCTCAAGGAGGGACAGGGAAGTCTAATTCCCCACTGCTGGCAAAGACCCCAATTTTCCAGCAGGTCAAGGTGCCCCATCATGTGTAATCCAAAACACACACAGAATAGGTATAAAGGAAATACTTTTTAAATTCTGCTTGCCCCCATGCTGATAACCCAGGATGTCTTTGCAGGTGCCAAATAACCCCAGTGACGTTTATTTCATGCCAGCCATATGCTGAGTGCATCAACTCAGCCTTCACACACACCTATGGGGTCATCCCCCCCATCTTTACAGAGAAGGAAACTGAGGCTCAAAAAGGCTCAGTGACTCACCCAAGGTCACCAGCCGGTCAGTGGTAGAACCAGAATTTGAATCTGGGTCATCAATCCTAGCACATTATTAAAAACAAACCCCCCCCCAATCCCCAGCCTGAGATCCAGCCTCACCAGGCCCTCACACAGAGCCCTGCTCTCCCGCGCCTGTGCCAGGCACCCACATACCTTGACAAACTCCTCGGTGCCTTTTTGGCGGAAGGTCCACTCTGTGAAGGTCTCAGCGGTGGTCTCACTGCGGCGTTTGCACGAGATGCACAGAATTTTGAAGGTCATCCCGTACACAGCCTCGGTTTCCGAGTCCACCTCCACACAGCCCCCCCAGGCCGAGGTCACTGCGGGGACAGCGGGCTTAGGTCAAACGGGGGCACCCATCACCCTAGGCGCTGCCAGGTTCACTGGCTGCTGTGGGCTTTCAGACCCCTCAAAAGCCATCTGTTTCCCCTCAATAATGGTTATGAATAGACAGAACTGAGTAACACGCTGGGCCCTGCCACTCGCTGCATCACCTTGGGGAATCACTCATATTCTCTGAGCCTCAGTTTCTCTGATTTAGGCGAAAGAAACCATCACGTTGCTTCTGGCAGTGGCTGGGCAGAGTTCTCTAAGTTAGGTAGGGCCCAGTACATGGAGGCACGAATAAATAGGGCTGTTGGTTCCGTCAGTGACTCCTAGTCTTTGCTACCCAAGAACCCCTTCCTCAGAAAGTCACCTGCTCACGGTATCACCTAGAGGGTGGGACTAGAATCCCAGCTGTGTTAGCAGTTCAAGGTGGTAGATTCATTTCCAGCCAGCCCCAGGACAAACGGGCAAGGGAAAAGGAAGGCCTGGGGAGGGGGTCGGGGGACGCTGGAATCAGGCCAGACCCTCACCCCATTTCTGCTCCCCAGGCCCATAGCCCTTATGTGATCCCCAGTCTCCCTCACCTCCACACCTTCCTCATCAACTTCTCAAAACTCTTCCCTGTCTCAGGACCTGTGAACTCTCAGGGGACCCAACTTTTTGGGTCTCTCCTCCACACTCTTAACCTGCTGCCTCCTTCCGGTCTCCCGGCACTCACTAGCTAATACCCGGTGCCTTCCGCCCCAGCTCCGGGTCTTTGCCTTGTTTCCCGAATCTCTGAATCTTCAGGACTTCTGTCAGCCTCCCCTGCCGTCTCCTTCTGTGTCTCCGAGCGCCTGCGCCCTGGTCTCCCCCATGTGTATCCCTCCTCCGGGTCTCTCTGAAGGTCCCTCCACGTGTGTCCTCTCTCCAGGCTCAAGCTCCCTCCGTGGTCTCTCCCTCCACCTTTCCGTGATTCTCCCTTTTAAAACTCCATCTCGCATTCTCTCAGTGGGTCCACCGGTCTCCGTCTCTCCCTCTTCGCTTCCCACCTCTCTCAAGTTTCTCTCTCTCGGTCGCTTCGACTCTTGACACGCTCTCACTTTCCCTCTGTCCGTCCCTGCTTCCCACTTTACCCCCACGTCCCCACTCTCCCCGTGGAGCGCTCAGAGGTACCGAGTCCTTCCCCGTCTCTCGCCCCTCCCTCTCGTCTCTGTCTCTCCGGCTCTCTCTGGGTCTCTGTCTCTCGCGTCCTGGCCTCCGGGCGCCGCCTTCCCCGCCACCCCCCTCCCGCGGCTGTGGGTGTCACATTGCAGCCTGCGGGGCTCCGGGAGCAGCTGACTCCGCGTTTCCTCGCCCCCGGCTGGGCGCCCGCAGCCTCGGGGCTGTGCCAGCCAGGCCCCCGCCCGCTCAAGACCCCTGCGCCTCCACCGCCCTACCCAGCCCGGTCCCGGCGCGCACAACTTCTGCGGCCGACTTGGCGGGGCCGGGGGCTGGGCTGGGGGCCGCCCTCGCGCCGCGGCCCAGAGTCCCGAGCGCGAATCCCGCCGCTCCGCCTATGCCCCAGCCGTGTCCTCAGCGGCGCGCGCCCCTCGCGCACTCACCCAGTGCCGCGCCGACCACGAAGGCAAGCAGAGTCCCCATGGCTGTGCTGCGCACGTTGCGCCCCCCTCCCGGGCCGCCGGTATTAATAGCCGGGCGAGAGGTGGCGGGACCCGGCGGCGGTTAGAATGTCCCCGGGAGCGCGCGGGCGCAGCAGCTGCGGCTCTGGGACCGGCGAGGGGGGAGGAGGGGGGGCACGGCCCCCCCCGCTCCGGTTACCGCCGGGGGCCCAGCCCCGGGGCCCGGCGTCCGGGCATCCCCGCCGCACGGGCGGCGGCCTCTGCTGGAGCTGCTGCGCTGGCGCGCGCGCTCGGGTGCATCCGCCAGGTACACCGACCCTGGCCCGGCTCCGGCTCCGGCTCCGGAGCGCTCGGGCGCGGACCGCGGTCTCCTGCGCACTGCAGCGGCGGCCTGGGGAGGGAGGAGGCAGGAGAGGGAGGGGGCGGGATGAATCACCGCGGGAGGAGGGCGCGGCCGCCCAGCCTTTGCCGCAGCGGCCCGAGAGGCGCCCGCTGTACCGGCCTTTCTGGGTGGCGCAGGGACCGCGGCTTCTGGGCACCGTGCTGGGGGATCGGATGTTTTCTACCCCTCCAGACGCTGGAGACCCCCATCTTCGAAGTCTTGGAAAGGTTACCCCCGGAACCACAAGAGGACTTAGAGGGCAGTTTCAGGGCCGGACTTAACGACTTCAAATTGCCAAATTGCGGAGGTCATCCTCTCAAGTTTGAGGGAGGCTTGGCTGGGACCTCCAAGCGCTATCCGCCTCCAACCCCTAACATCTCCGCCTGGAGATCCCTGTGCCGGGACCAGGCAGGCGTGGGCGAGGGGGCTCAGGCCAAGGCTACCAATAATACTCCAGATCCCACCCAAGCAGGTGGGGCACCCTGGAGGCCAAGCTACAGAAGCCACTCTGGGAGTTTGGAGGTGCCGCGTTTCAGGAGGAGCGCCCCTTGGTGAACCCCCCAGTACCCCTTTATTACTCTGACGTCACCTCCTACCCCTCTCTCCTCCCACTTCACTCCGGCTACCGAGGCCCTGTGTTCCCAACACCGGGAGCTCACTCCAGCCTCAGAGCCGCGGCCCCTGCTCTTGGGGCAGGACCACTCTTCACCTCCTGCCGGCTGTGGCTCCGGTATCACCTTCACAGGTCCTCTGTGTTAACTCAGGGTAAACTGCCTCCCCCCCCCCACCTGACCTCCTTTACTCTTGTTGGTTCCCCGCTCTCCCCCCCCCCGCCCCCCCAGGGCAGAGTCACTATGCCCTTATGTTGTTCCTGTCTACAGTTTTCCTGTCCCTCCAACCCTGGAATGTAAGATTCCCCCCAGGTGAGGACACTGTCCTGGGTACCATTGTGTCTCTACCACATTGACCTGTGCCTGGCACATTATAGATACTCCATAAATGTCTGTCGAATGAAAGTAAATCAATAGCAGTGCTTAGTAAGTCCTGATTCACTGAATCTACTTCTACCCCCTAAACCAGTGGTTCTCAACCTGTGGGTCACGACCCACAGGAACTGTATTAAAGGGCCATGGCATCAGGAAGGTTGAGAACCGCTGCCCCAAACCTATACAGAAAGTTCTATCACCCCTATTTTATAGATGAGGAAACTGAGGCTGGGAGAGGGACATTCTTTTGCTCAGGGTCATGAAGCTGGCCTAAGGTGGGTCTGAATCCTGCCCAGCAATGGCGAGCAGCCTGTCCAACCAGTAGCTTTTTCCAAATGGAGAAAATGAGGGTGGTGACTCTTGCCTGGGGGTCCCAGCCGGGTCCTAGCCTTCAGTTCAGGGTAGAGTCCCAGAATCACCCTAGCCCAGCCCTGTTAGGCAGAAGGAACCAGGGCGTGGAACAGGCCCAGGGCAGAGGGGTAGGGAGCCAGGGACATCAAACATACATGTGGTCTGGGCCTCTGGGCCAGCACTTCCTGAGCTGTGAAATTCTTCTGCAGAAGGTAACTCCTGTGGTTCCAGGCCCTTCCTCTGGGGGAGGGGGAGGTATAAGGTGGAGGCTCAGTGAGGACAGGCCTCAGCAGGGACAGGAGGCACCTTCTAACAGCCCTACAAGCTTACAAGCACCTTCTGTGGGTTCAGTGCTGTTCTAAGCACTTTACTAGTATTAACTCATTTAATTTTCCCTACAAGATGAATATTATCGTTATGCCCATGTTACAGGTATGGGAAACTGAGGCTTGTGGTGTGTAACTTGCCATGATCTCATGGCTGGAGGGTGGGGGAGGCCAGCTCTGCCTGCCCCTTGCCACTCATGATCCATCTGCCTCTACCCAACCTCTCCTTCAGACCCCTGCCCCAAGCCTTTAGTTAAGATGACTCTTGCAGCCAAGTGTGTGGCATGACAAAGGTCTCCCTTCACTCATCACTCTGAACCAAGCAAAAGGTCTGAGAGAGACAGATCTGGGTTCAGCCTCTAAGCCTATTTCCTCTTCTGTAAAACAAAGGTCCAAACATCCTCAGCCTGCATGGGCTGCTGTGGGGCCCTGAAGGGGGTCCCGACATTGCATCTCAATGTGGAGACACCAGAGGGAGGCCCTGAGTCTTTGCCTCCTGGCTGGGTGGCCCCAAGCATGTAAATCTTTGTCTCCACCTCAGGAAGTCACTGTGTGAATAAAATGAACATCAGATCTTGGCACAGAGCTTGGTACATATTTGGTGCTCACTACATGAGTTTTTTCCTTTCAATTTTTATGCAATAAGTGTAACATTTAGTGAATACTTACTCTGTGCCAGGCCCTGTTATAAGTAGCCACATTTATTGACTCCTTGAACTTATAATAGTGGTTCTCAAAGTGTGGCCCTGGGACAGTGTGATCAGCATCATCCGGAAACTTGTTAGAAATGCAGAATCTTAGCCCTGCCCCTACCCCAGATCAGAAACTCTGGTAGGGGGAGTGGTACCCAGTAGCCTGTTTTTTTAAGAAGCCCTCCAGGAGACTCTGATGCAGTTTGAGAACCACTGACTCAGAACAGCTCTGGGAGACTGGCACTATCATTGTGCCCATTGTACAGAAAGGGAAACTGAGGCTCAGAGAGGTTGCCCTGCTCCAGGCCGTATGGCTACACAGAAGCAGGATTGGAACCCAGGCCACCAGTGTCTATTCTCAGAGCTCCAGACTCTGGGCAGGTGATCAGGTCATTTCAGGGACTATCGCTCCAGAAAATGGACAGATGGCCCCCTCCCCACCAGGGCAGGATCTGAGTACAACAGGAGACCCCCACCCATTCCCAGGGCCCTCAAAGGTACAGCTGTAGCCATTTCCAACCCTTTATTGGGGCTCTGTCAGCCCCAAATAAATATAATACATTAAACCCAGAGCTGAGGGAATCGTGCACCCCAGGAGGCACCCCTCCCACAGCCCCAGCTGGGCAAAATAAGTTAGTGGGGGGCCTGCCAAAGGCCAGGCCAGCTCCCTGGTCTAAAGTGCATCTCAGTTCTGTGGTCCCCACATCTGCATGGTCCCTGGTTGGGCCGCTGGGAGTGCCGGGCGTTCACACCGTGCCAGCAGTGGCCGCCAAGGCTGTGTGTGTTTTGTGTCCATTGGAGAGAAGGGCTGTGTGGCCAGGCGTCCTCAGGAAAAGCTGTCATCGGGCCGGGGCTGAGCGTCGTAGGTAGGGTCCGAGACTGTGATGCCTTGATGGAGCTTCTCCAAGGAGAATTTCATCTGGAGGGAGGGCAGAGGTAGGCAGGGTAAGGGATGAGTTCATGCCCATGCCCCCGCCCCCCACCACAGTCACTGGCTGGAAGAGCAGAGTCACACTGCATGGACCCAGTTCAATCTCTCAGAGGCAGCAGCAGAAGAGACTCCAAGCACACTTGGGATGCAGATGGCCTGGGTTCAAATCCCAGCTCTGCTGCTCACTGGGTAACCCTGGGCAAATCATTTAACCCCCCTGGGGTTCCGTTCCCTCATCTGAAATAGGGACCAGTAACATCTGCTTTGGAGGATAACTTCAAGGATCCGATGACTACCAAGTTTCTGAACTTTTTTTTTTTTTGAGACAGAGTCTCACTCTGTCACCCTACAGAGTGTTACGGTGTCATATCTCACAGCAAACTCAAATTCCTGGATTCACACAATCCTCCTGCTTCAGCCTCCTGAGTAGCAGGGACTAAAGGCACCTGCCACAACTCCTGGCTAGTTTTTCCATTTTTAGTAGAGATAGGGTCTTGCTGTTGCTCATACTAGTCTCAAACTCCTGAGCTCAGCCAATCCACCTGCCTCGGCCTCACAGAGTGCTAGGATTACAGGTGGGAGCTACCAACTCAGTCTCCAAGTTTCTGAACTTCTTGTACTCCAGGATACCTATCTATAAAAATGGGGATAACAAGAACATCTTTCTCAAAGGTTGGCCATGAGGATAAAGCAGTTAATCGTGCTTAGTGCTCAGAACAGCCAGTTCCCAGTAAATAAGTACTCAATTACACCCACTACCATTAATTTGTGAAGTCAACTTGGTACCCTTGGCAAGTTGAGAGAGAGGAAAATAATCAGGATGGGGGGCATTCCCCTTGCCCTGGGCAATGGATCCTAAGCCTTAATTCCCACAACCATAGTCCTCTGCAGTGTAAGCATCTCTCTTTGGACATGGCTCCAGGGTGCAGTGAGGCCTCTAAGGAGGGGCCTCAGTATTATCGAAGGGCTGACCAGACTGACCTCCACTGTCCCTGCAACTTTGGCTCTGATGATCTCAGAAACAGACTGATGCCAGGCTGACCCCAGCTTTCCATCTTCCTCCCCACCTTAGGTACTTACTCCACTGCCAAAAACTTGCCTTGAGCCATCATAGCCACTAGCCTGAGGTCATCACCATGTGGCAAAGTCATATTTAGTGAGCACCTACTGTGTGCTGGGTGCTAACTCTCAGACTAGCAAACACACATGAAAAGCTTACTGTGTGCCTAGTACTAGACAAATGTTAATGTCAATAACCCTCATGATGGTCCTTGAGGTACTGCCAGGTAGCATCCCGGGAACAGAAGAGGGAGCCAGGTTCCATGTGGTCTAGTCATTTGCACAAGGTCATACTAGAATTTGAACCTGGTTGTCTGAAGAGATGGTGCCTCTGAACTACATGGGATGTCTGGGTCAAACCCCTTTTGGAGATG